CCCTGCACTTGCCTTTGTTGAACTTCATCAGGTTCCTCTGCGCCCAGCTCTCCAGCCTGTCCAGGTCTCGCTGAATGGCATCACAGCCTGACAGTGTATCCACCACTCCTCCCAGTTTTGTGTTGTCAGCAAACTTGCTGAGTGTGCAGTCTGTCCCTTCATCCAGATCGTTGATGAATAAGCTGAACAAGACTGGGCCCAGTACTCACCCCCGGCGGACACCACTAGTTACCGGCCTCCAACTGGACTCCGCGCCGCTGATCACAACCCTCTGAGCTCTGCCATTCAGCCAGTTCTCATATTTTTCTTTCAAAGAGCAGTGTATCGTTTAGCAACTATGAAAGAAGTATTTAGCTTAAAGGTGAAGCTTTATAATGCTTTTGCTTCCCGTTTTCTACTGCTCTTCTCTTCAGTTATATTCTGTTTTGCGCTTTTCAAAGTTGTTCATTGATTGTAGGTCAAGAAGTTATACAAGAAGCCGAAGCAGAGGATGGTATAGTAGGGATCGGTCAAGGAGTCGAAGTAGTTCTTACCACAGTTACAAGAGTCGTAGGTAAGTTCCTCTAAATGGAGACAGTGTTGGGGTATATTACAAAACCAGAAAATTAGGCACAGCAGCCTGATGCTTCAGGCTCTGAGCGAGTCGGAAATGCGCTTAGCTGTGCGTGCTGCGGGCTGAAGTAGCCGCTTGAAATGTGCAAGTTAGAATGGTCAGATTTCAAAACTTCCTCTTACTAAAAAATAACTTTGTGTGATGTTTAGTAGCATGGAGCAGGAATTCTGAGTAAAACATGTTCTCTTCTCGCTTCCCCTCTCCCCCTGCTCTCTTCAGCGCTTGTTTCTGATTAACTTAAAATTTCTCCCTTTTTTTGTTTTTGTCAGTCGAACCTATAGTAGAAGTAGATCCAGAAGTAGTTCTTACGGTCATCACAGTCGATCCAGGTATGGATTATAGTGTTATACAAACTCTGTAGTAATGTACTTACTATAAAAATATCTTGGTATAAGAATACCCCTTTATCTATGGTACTTAAAAATACAGTATCATGATAGCGACTTGAATCAAAGCAAAATCAACATAAGACACCTTTAAAAGCTGAAAATGACCAAATCGTCCTGGTGTTACAGTTACAGGAGATGATATAAGTAACAGTGAACACATTTTCGTTTATTGTTAAAATAAAATTGAGTTATAAATTGAATCTTGTTACTTGTTTTCAGAAGTATTAGCAAACAAGACTTTTACTTCATCTACAGTTTGCAGAGAAAACACAAAGCTTTTTAAATGCTTAGGAAGTCTTTTCTAGATTAATAAAATGAGATCTTTTTAACTTGCTTTGAAGATACTTAATCTTGTATTTAAAGTTATAAAATGTAGACTTATCCTTCAAGAATGATTTCTATATGGCAACTCACCTCTTTTAATCTCTTTGTATATAACTGTCTTTAAAACTTACATTTAAAATATACCGCACGTTAGACAAGGAATTGTAAATTTACTATGGTTTTCTTTTCCCTTTGAAGTAGGTCATACACATATGACAGTTACTACAGCCGAAGTCGAAGTAGAAGTAAAAGGAGTGACAGCTATCGACGATCTAGAAGTTACGATAGACGATCCAGGTACGTTTTTGCTAGTGTGACTTTGACACTCTTTATGCAAAGGATTTGCTGAATACATGCTTACCATGTTCATAAAGGTGAATATGTTTGGGGTTTTCCCCCCCCCAAGCATAAAAAAATACATTTTTACGAAAAGTTATAATTTAAAACAGCTACAATTAGAGGAAGTATGTGAGTGAGGATGACTAAATTGGAATTTCTGACATACTGAATCAGGGATGGGAAAGAAACTAGGATAAGAAGGATTTGAGAAGCCTCCAGTTCATTGTATGTATGTCCACATATATTCAAAATGATTATTTCTTTCAATAATTTTAAATATTTCCTAAAACCTACGATGAACTAGTTCTCGAGATTTAAATCAAGTGCCCTGTTACAGATTAGAAGCTACCTGGTATGGAAAGTGTTCCACTGGATGGTAAATTCTTTTTGGTTAGACTGAAAAAGTGCATTTAAAAAAAAAATATCTAAGGGAAATTAAAAATTGCAATGCTATCCAGAATTATTTTTTAACTTCCTACAACATGTTCTGAAATAATATTTTACCTGCAAATCCAGGGTGCTTCTGATGTCACTGTTTGCACTATATAAATTTAGGATAATTCTCCTGCTCACTCCAGGGGAATTAGAGGTGTAAGTGAGCACCGTTCACAAAGATCAGAAGTGGAGCACGGTCTTTATACAGTGGATAAACTTCAGTGATAATTTGTTCTGTACCTTTCAATAGATCCCATATTAATCAGTGGCAAATCACGCAGATCTTTAAGACTGTTGTAAATTTTCAGCCTCTGCTGTCCTCATACTAATTCTTCTACAACTTTGTAACAACTCTTGATGGACTGTGCTCTCACCAATTTCCCCGTGTTGTCCTGACAGTGAGACTGCTGTCGTCACGCGTTTGAGGGGAAATTAGCAGGATTAACAGGGTGTGGAAATACACTTACAAAGGCGTTGGTTCGGGATGTTGGGAAGCTTTAGAGAAACAATGGTAGATGAGGACATGCTCATCTTTCATCTAGAAAGCTTTGCTGACAGGCACGAGGCTAGAAAATCTCGAATGAAAGTTTGGTCTGTGTAATTTGAACGTGTTCCGTGGCTTGTCTGAAACCATCTGGACTGTGTCTCGATGCTTGGCCAGGTGCTGAGCCTGGAATTCTTTTGGATAAGCCAAAACATTTAAATATACAACTTCCACTCTGCAGACACTCGCACGCTTCTGGTGTTATGGGGCCAAATTCTTCAGACCATTCTTCAGATGAAAAAAGCAAACATTTGTGAAATTATCTTAGCTGAGACACAATTGCAATATGAAATTATATTTATTAGAATATGCTCAGTTTACAAAAACAGTTCTTTTGGATGATTTCGTAACTGTATCAGAGAAAGCAAATGTTCTAGTTACAGTTTGGCTTCAGTTACACGAGGCTTTTATCATGTAACATTAATGATTATTTTGATTTTGAGTGTCAATTACTTCAGTTGTATAAAATATGGTCCTGTAAAAGACCTCTTGTATGTTTTCTTCTTGCCTTGTGGGTGGCTGTCGTGACAGTTTTTTTTCCTACGTGATGCAATTTTGTATTTGAAGCTCAAAATACAATTTTGAGGCATTTTAATCTTCTCTTTGCAGATCTTACGGCTCTGACAGTGAAAGTGATCGCAGTTACTCTAACAACCGAAGTCCCAGCGAAAGCAGCAGATATAGCTGAAAATGGTTCTTTGACGATGGAAACCGTATTTAATAATTTCTTCAGTGTTATGTTAAAAAAAACCTGTTTTGACAGTGTCACAGGTGAAGTTAAAGGTTGTTTACTGAGTTAGCTGAAGCTGTTCAACAGCCGACTCGCTTGACTGACTGTCTGCTTATGAAGTACTGAGCTCAAGTCAAGATTCTTTTAAAATTTTTTTTTTATGTCAAATACTACTTTTATGAAACAGAGGAAAAAAGAAACAGTTTTATTTCCTTGAATTGGATTTTCCAAGCCATGAATGACACTTAAGTGAATTTGCTGCCCCCACTTTTCTGGGAGCAGCAGTGAGTACTGCCTTCCAGTAGGTTTGTAAACACCTTCGGGCTTTCTGCCCGCTACTATTAAATATAGGCTAGCAGCTGTAAAACTGTGAAGAAAACTTCTGACGAAGGCTGCCATTTCTGGGTTATGAAGATGCTTTTTTTCTTTTTTTAATGCTGGAAGATGGGCTCCACGCTGTCTTGCTTGTTGATTATTGCGTTATATCCTGTAGACACACAGCAGCCAGGGGACGAAAACAGAGACTGCCGCTCTGTCTTAACGCTTACCGTGCGGTGGCAGCCCGGCGTCTGTTGAAGGGGTGTGATGATAAACAACGGGAATCATCCAACTGACGAGCAGCGAGCGGAAGTGCGATGAAGGAGTTTTGATCTTAATGTCCAACGTGTCTAAACTTTTAGGTTTAAAAGTGAATTTTGCGATGAACAGCAATGTTCTGAAGAGTCTAAAAAAAGCGTTTCTGAACACTCTTTTTGAATTTCAGTTCCTATTACAGTGCTTCAACGCATTTTGAAGTTGAGTGTTATAAAACTGTTGAGTATATCATGAGTTTCTTCAAAACACTTTTTCAAAAAACTTCCGTGATGACGATTTTTTGAGAAAACAAACCGTAACGGTTCCTTTATAAAAATGTCTGTAGATGTATCCCATTTGCCATAGGGAATATTAGAGATTGATATTGCAGATACTGAACTATATATTGTTAAAGTGATACGACTACAAAAATACTGGTATGCCTGATAAAAAGCATGGACAGAACCTTCAAAGGAAAATTTAATACCAAAAATGATTCCATGTTACAGGTAAATGGTATGCAAAAAACCGTAGATTTAAGTTGAATAGCATTGAGGAATTTTTTGCAATATTCTGATTGAGTTGATTTAAAATAATTTGTAGTTTTTCAGTGTTTAGAAAGTTGTGTACTAAGAAACAGTTTTTTAATGGCATAATGTAACCTGAAAAGTGGGGTCAGTAGTGAAAAAACAGACTAACTTGGCTTGATTAGAGCTAATGAGTACTGTTGTATTATAATAGTTTTCATTACTGACTTTCTGTAATGTCTTGAGACGCTTTCATTTTCTCAAATGTTTTCAGATATTGAAAATGACTTTTTTTTTTTTTTAAATCTTATCAAGACCCAGCAGCTTTGAAAATTAAAAGTGGTAATTTCTTGCTTAGACGTCAGTTCATACTGTCTCTTTGATTGAATTAAGCTATCCAAAATTAGCTTTTGGTACAGTTCTGAAACATGAAAAGAAAGTTCAAAGTGAAGTTTGAAGACTGTGATGATGCTCTCCATTCCTGTCCGTGAAAAGCTGAATAAGACGTTTGTACGCAGGTTCCGAAAACTGAATTTGTCATATAGATTTTTCACTTGCTAAAAGAACCCAAAATTCTGGACTTGCACCCTTCGTGCTCTTGTAGTTCAATGAAGAAGGGTGCACACATAATCCTTTCAAATCAACATTTTGTAAACTTCTTATGTTTTTTAACGTTAGGCACATTTATTGCTGAAGTCAGTGTACACTTACAGACACGTATCGAACAGTAGCAGCCATTTCGGAGTCCTGAACAAATATTTCATCACTAACTCAAGAAACTGTAACAAACATTGTCTTAAGTACAAATGTAACTTGTTTTTTTCCCTTACTGAGAAAACAGAGCTAGTGGGCTTGTGGTAGAACAAAATACACAAATGTGAACATTGCCATCCAATATCTGTTAGAGAAAAAATTGCTTCAGAATCAGACTTTGTCATATTCCAGATCTGAGTTGACTTTTTATTTTTAAGGCCAAGGAAAAGGTAATAGAAATACAGTTAATCAGTTAAGTGTCACTAATGTCTATTTCATATCTTGAATTTAAGCTTTCTAAAGAAATACCATCTGGTAGATGGGAGGGGGAGTATTTTTAGTTGATGAAGTCCGTTAATTTGTGCTTCAGATAAAAAATGTACCCCTGAGCTGGTTTTCTAATGTTGGTCTATGTTTTTTGCAATTTTGTTATTCAAAGGTAGTTGCTGTTTGTAAAATAAACTTTTGTACATATCGGCAAATGCTCTTTTCTCTGCATCTGGAAAAATCTGTTGCTGCTTTAGGCGAGCAGGCAGGAAAATTAGAAATACCCTTCAATTTCTGTATCCGCTGTTGTCCCTTGCAAGACAAGTTGCCTTTCCTTTTCCTGACCTGCGCAGAGAATGATTCCTCGGAAGGCACTGCGCTGGGTTTACATAATAGTCATTGCAGGAACAAATATTTTGAAATTTCCAAGCGATTGGAGGTCTCGCCATTTCCTCAAGATCTGTAAAAGGTTCCCGTCCTTTGTGAAAAGGTACACTTAGCAGATCTCCGCGGAAATCTCTGAACGGGCCCAGTTTAACTCCTTGGCTAAATATTCCTCCCCGAGTACGCATTCCCACATCCCGCCCGTAGCGTGCTGGAAACGCGGTGTTGGTTCCAGTCAGCAGACGCAGTGGCCGAGCGGACTAATCCATCAGTCTTTTAGACCTCCTGTTCCAGAAAAAGAGGATTTTGTTGGAAATACTGACTTCGCCCTCGTGGAAAGGCCGATTGCCGTGGTCTGAGGTGAGAAGGACAAGTGGAAGCGTTTCCTTGTTGTTCGACTGAGTCTTCGACGTGACCCGGTGAACCTGGCGTTCCCCAGGCTTCGGAGCGCTGCCTTGGAGCAGGAGGCACAAGAAATCCCAGGCAGGAAAAGTAGGAGCTCTAGGTGCTACAAGCGATGGTGATAAAAGATGTAAAAAAAGGTAATTTAAGGTAGGGGAAAGGTGAACGGCGCCGTCAAAGACAGCAGAGAAACCCAACGGCGTGAGAAATGTTGGACAACCTCTTGTGTCGCGCTGTAGCGCGAAACAGCGAAGAGAGGTAGTCACCAGCCCTTCTTTGCGATGCGTAGCGTGGCTGTTTCTGCTTCAGAAGCCACGTTCCGTGCAGAAGCTCAACACCGGGATCGCGGGGCCGCTTTCGGGTGATGTGGTGTCCAGCCAGCGTGCGGGGAGGAGGCTGGAGGCAGCGCGCCGCGTTAAAAATAGCCATGGTCTGTTACTCGTTAGTGACGTTTTTCTATTTAAATAAGTCTTAAATCCTGCGATGTGGTAAAATTATTAAATATAAGTGGTTTTATCCATAAAAAAAAGGGGGGGGAGTTCTGAATGAGGTTAGGTCGGTGTGCCTTTGGCTGTGTGGGCAGGAGGTTGTCCACGACGCATACACAAAAGATCGCCGTGGCGTAGCTCGGCAGAGCCAGCCTTCTGCCTCCAGCCACAGGGCGCCATCCCCCGCCCCGTCTGGCCGACAAACAGCCAGTTCGTAGAAAGCGGCAGCAGAAACGCGCTTTTCCTCCCATCCCGATGTGCGGAGAGACTTCCTCCCTCCCCGCTGTATCGCTTTTCGGCAAGGGCTGTCTGTGTCCTTCCGCTCGAGGGCAAGAAGCATTTAAAGTGCTCTTCCCGGAGGTCACCGAGTATCTGGCGGTGTATTAAGTTTCTGCTGGTGGCTTTGCGCGGTGCGTGATGATCGTGCTTACAGTTTGGAGCGGGACGCAGCGTTGAGATGACCTTGAGCCGCGCTCTGGAATCCCATCTGGTGTAATTTCCAAACTGGACGCGGCCCGGGATTTAAATTGTGAGAAGATAAAGCTTTGCACGCTCCGCCCCTACTCACCAGCCCTGTAAACAAGTTTGCTTTTTACTTTTTTGTAATATGGTTGTGAAACAGTAATGATTTTCTACCTGATTTTAAAACGCTTTAGCTGCTTATCTGTGGTGAGTTAAAACTGTTTAATAATTATATAAACAATTAAAGGGACCCAGTCTTGAATTTAATAATGTCCATGTAATCCCTCTGAAGCAGAGCGGATTGCGTGCATGAGATCAGCCTGGGGCAGGGGGGTTTTGTTTTTGGTTTTTTTTTTTAATGAAGGTAATATTTCAGAGTCATAGCGGATGTACAGAGAGGGGGTGGGTATTAGCCTGGTATTAATTGATGTTTCGGTCGTGGTGTTGATCTGTCCTTGAAAGAGCGTGGTGCAGCCGGAGAAACCGATGTCCTCACTCCAAGGACGGTCCAACACGGAGAGTGCGGAGCGCTGCGCAGCGTGGGAACACCTGTAGCTCCGAGTCCTGGCCTTGCGCTGCAAAATTCCTTTATTAATTCCTTAATTCAGCCAGGAAGGGGCTGCCCTTCCCCTTGGGCTTTCTTTTTCTTCGTGCCCCCCATGAGAGAGGGCAGGGAGGACTTCTCCCCTCTCCTCGTCCCAGCTCTCCAGCAGCGGCTGCCTCCCTTGCGCTGCGCAGCGTGGGAACACCTGTAGCTCCGAGTCCTGGCCTTGCGCTGCAAAATTCCTTTATTAATTCCTTAATTCAGCCAGGAAGGGGCTGCCCTTCCCCTTGGGCTTTCTTTTTCTTCGTGCCCCCCATGAGAGAGGGCAGGGAGGACTTCTCCCCTCTCCTCGTCCCAGCTCTCCAGCAGCGGCTGCCTCCCTTGCCCCTGGCACCTTTGGGAAACGAGTGGCAGCAGGAGCATCCAACTCTTTCGGGGACGTACCGGTGAGATGACGCCAGCGACGGAGGCGTTTGGCTCTTCGGGTGCTGGTTGCAGACGTATGTTTAAGGAAAAACGAAAAAGCAAACCCATTCTACAGAGAGGGCTAGGTGTTTG